ATTCCCAATGCCTAGAGCTTGGCCTTTTATATAATAGGCACTTAATGATTAATTGAGCTAAATATAATTGAATTAAGGCACCTGACCTGATTTCAATTCAGTTGACAAGGTCCACTGAAAGTTTGTCATCTAATCTCAATGGATCCTTGTTGCTTTTATTCTCAGTTAGCTTTCTTTCCCATTCCCCACAATATCAGTTGAAGACCTCTCTTATTTGAAGCCTTCTATAATTACCCTGTCTTTATAGAGTTATACTCCTAGCACTGGAAGGGACTTCCGAGACCATCTAGTCCAACTTCCCCTTCTCTCCTTCTTTGCAGATGAGAAAATTGAGGCCAAGAACAGTTAAGTGACTTGACCAAGGTCATAAAAATAATTAGTATGCTTCTCAGCAAAGGACTTATTTCCTGCTTTACTGAGAAAAACATGTCATGAGCTCTCTATTTTCTTTACTCCAACACTGCAAAACTATTACTACTTATTCTCTCTTTGTACCTGTCTTTGAAAAAGAGATTCCTTAAAGGACCAACGTGTACAAAAATATTTATAGCTGCTCTTTTTGTGGTGACCAAGAATTGGAAATTGAGGGGATGCCCATCAATTGGGAAATGACTGAACAAGTTGTGTATGTGAATGTAATGAAATACTGTTGTTCCATAAGAAATGGTGAGCAAGGCAGACTTCAGAAAAACTTGGAAAGATCTGCGTGAACTCATACTGAGTGAAGTGAGCATAACTAGGAGAACATTGTACATAGTAACAGTAACATTGTGCGTTGTATGCATTGACTATGTTAGACTTGGCTCTTTTGAGCTAAGTCTAACAGTACAATGATCTAAGACAGTTCCAAAAGACTCGAGATGGAAAATGCTATCCACATCCAGAGAAAGAACTGTGGAGTCTGAATGCAGATCAGAGCATGCCATTTTCTCTTTCTTTTGTTGTTTTTTGTTTTCTCTTTCTCATGGTTTTTCCCTTTTGTTCTGATTCTTCTTGCACAACATGACTGATGTGAAAATATGTTTAATATGATCATACATGTATAGCCTATATCAGATTGCATGCCATCTTGGGGATGGGAAAGTGGAAGGAGGGAAGTATTTAGAATTCAAAACCTTATAAAAGCAAATGTTGAAAACTAAAAATAAGTTAATTTTTAAAAAAGAAAAAGAGATTCCTCTTCTTCTTACCAAAAGCTAACTCCTCTAATTGTCGTTGATCCCATTCCCTAATAGCATAGGTCATATCTCCTCTGGGAGCTTACCCCTTTCATTATTACCTCTTCCATTTTCCATCTTACTTTATCCACTGGCTTCTTCATTTCTACCTATAAGTATGTCCAAGTCAGTTCAATCCTTAAAAAACCTTCTCTTGACCTTATCACCCCTTCAAGTTATCCTTCATTTCTCTTCCTTTTTCCAATCAAACTCTAAGAGAAAAAAAAACTTACATTCATTTTCTCCACCTTCTCAATTTCCATATACCTCCTAGTCCCTTGCATTATAGCTTCCAACCCCACCACTTTACTAAAACTACTCTTTCCCAAGTTAGAGCAATCCCCCAGCTGCTAAATTTCATTCCTAATTCTCCTTAACTTCTTCAGTTTTTGACATTATTATACACCTTCTCTTGCATAGTATCCTTCCTTGGCCTTGAGGACATAACTATCTTCTGGTTTTTCTCCTGTCTTTGTGGCAACTCCTTTTGAGTTTTATCATCTATGCCCTACCCTCTCAACATGGGTGCCCCTCAGGCCTCTGAGTTTTCTCTCTTTATATTTGTTCTCTGTGATCTCTCTAGCTGCCATCGATGCAGAGATCATATCTATGCAGATGATACCCAGGTTATAGATCTATCCCTAATCTCTCTCCTGTGTGTCAGTCCTGCATTGCCAGCTGCTTGCTGAACCTTTCTTTGTAATGTCCTATAGGCTTCTCATATTCAGCATGCCCAAATTTGAAATCATTATTGTATTTTGCTTTTCCCCAAACTTCTCTGGTGAGGTACTGCCATCATTAAATGTGTGTCTGTGTCTAAGTTCTCATTGTGTGAATCATTAATTTGAATACCTCAAGGTTTTTAAAGTCATCATTAATTTGACATAATAATAGCAATTTTAGAATAACTTTATTCTTGAGTTCCTCCCCCTAAAATATTTAGGCACTTCTTTTATTTTGTCATATTGAAATATTACACTTTTCCTTTCTGATCTAGAATTTTGCATGGTTTACTTTCATGTCAGTCAACAAATTCTTCAGGTGTATTTTTATAGTGCACAGACCTTTTTTAGGATCTCTTTAGACTGAGTATTAAATGTAAACTTGAAGAATTATCTAAGATAAATTTGAAAAGCATTTTATTGAGTATTTTAAGAGCCTACTTAGGATAAAGTTAAAATGCAGGGAAAGGTTACACAGAGGTAAAGAAATTAAGGTTAATTTAGCAAGCATTTATTAACAAGCACTTATGCCTCCTATGCGCCATATATTGTTTATGCACTTGGTATACAGAGACAACAAAGGAAGACAAAATCCCTTAACAAACATAGTCAAGCAAAACAAATTCCCATATTGGCCATGTCCAAACATGTGTGTTTCATTCTGCGTGTAAGTCCATCAGGGGCTCAGTGACATGCTTCATGGAACTTAAATCTTTTGGGATCATGATTGGTCATCGAATTGGTCAGATTTAAAAACTGTTATTGTTACAGTGTTGTTGTTTTAGTGGAAATTATTGTCCTGATTATGCTCACTTCCTTCATCAGTTTATACAAGTTCTAACCAGGTTTCTTTGAAACCATCTCTTTCTTCATTTCTTATAGCAAAGTAATATTCCAGTATGTTCATTATATCATAATTTGATCAACTAATTGATGGATAGTACCTTAGTTTTCAGTTCTTTGCTAATATAAAAAGAGCTACTACAAATATTTTCATGCATATAATATCTTTTGCTCTTTTTTTGTCAGTAGTGGTATTGCTGGGTCAAAGGTTTTGCACAGTTTAGTAACTTTTTGGATATAGTTTCAGATTGCTTTCCAGAGTTGAACAACAATGTAACAAGTGCCAATTTTCCTGCAGCTTCTCCAATATTTCTTTTTCCTTTATTTGATCAATGTGTTATCAATGTCTTGATCAATATTCTGCCTAAATACATTTTCACCAGGATGGCCAGTTATTTGTGATAGACTAAGTCTGTAAACCATATCAATTGTATTTAAGGTATTAGGGTATTAGTGATGTTAATTCCTCATTGGGTTTTGCATTTTAATGCTTTGGTTTATGTTTTTCAAAACTTAACTTATATTTTATATACACACTCTTTGACCAAGTGATGGTAGTGGTAGGTCTCAAGTTCATGTACAAAAAAAATAGTTACCATCTTATGAAGACTTTCAGAATTTTTATGTTATGATATAGTATTGAAAGACCATTAGATATAGAGTCAGAAGATCTGGGTTGGAATTTCAGCTGTGCTACTTACTTGCTTTATAAACTTGGGCATGTCAGCTTTATCTTGGTGGGCCTCTGTTTTCTCATCTATAAAATGAGGAAATTGTACTAGATTGTCTTTGAGATCCCTTCCAACTCTAAATCTGTGAGGTTATGATCCGTATGCTAGAGCTGATATACTTTACTCATAGATGATTAATCCCTCCCTCATCTCCCAACCCCACTGTCATCATTCATAATCTGTTTATTTATTTTATATGGCAGTTCTTAAAGTCTTGCCTATTTGGGTTCTAATTCTAAGAGTTACTCATTGGAGGCAGGCACACTGACAGCAGCAAAAAAATTTAACTCCCACCCAAACAAAAAAAGGGATCACAAAAAGCCATCACAGAAATTCAGAAAATATAACTGTCTGAGGCAAATAGCCCTCCACAACCAGTAGTCCTGAGAGGGCTATTACTACACAGCTTAATAATTGATGTGCATCTTAAGGACCCCTGAGTCAACAAGTAGTATTAAATTATGTTCAGTATTTTATATTTAAGAAGGTAAAGTATATAATACTACCTGGAAATATTGCCGTGCAAAATAGTTTGGGTACCTAAAAGGAGTAAACCCATGGCTTTTTTGGAAAATAGTTATACAGAATGCCTCCTGTGGGTTTCAGATAGCTAGTATTTTGTTGTATTAATATTTATGAGGTACATTCAAGTTTGAGAACTTGACTTTGAAGAATTAGCAAGAACTATTCCTTACTTGGGGGTTGTTTACCTTGTTTATCTGAAACAAGGGTAAACTATGTGAAAGGTTTTGCATGGCGCCTGCCTATACATGGAAAAGTTTTTTGCCTCTTGACCAAAATAGTTTAATAATATCATCTTCATGTGACGAAATCACTGATCCCATCACTCTTGAGAATTTCAGGTTTAAGTCCCTAAAAATCTATGATGACCATCAATATAATATGAAAAAAATTGGGGATCTCTGATTCCCATCTATAGCAGTAGGCTCTCAGTGGAAGCTATTGATTCACTGGGTTGTTGGAGATGTGTGGAATTGACCCCAAAGGTGCCATGGCTTGACCGAAAGTGGGGAGTCATCAGGGTGGGAAGATAGGTTGTGTCCCACCCTCCCCTGCTATAGATAATCATGAGTTGGTCTCCAACACAACTATATCACCTCATTCAGCACTTCCTCACATTCCAGTCTTATGTTCTCTCACTTCTTTGGAGAGACTCACCGCCATGGATTCAGGTTTTTCTATTCTGTTAAGCTGTGCAGGTCATAAATTCTCCCAGTTCTCATTGAAGTTCTCTAAAGGATCTGATTTCTCTCTTGAACCATTTTGGAACATCCTGCTGCCATTCCATTCTTTCTTGGAAACCATGGGGTTTATGATACTTTTATCAGGTATTAATTCAGTTTCCTTTGTCTTGCAATTTTTATTTCAAGGACTTTTACCCTTTTAGATCTATTATTATTCATCTTTCCTTCTGATTTTAAAGGAACATATTACCATTTAAATCATGTTTTCTTTTGTTTTCCTAGTTACTGTAAACATGTAACTACCTATGAAGAATCAAATTTTTCTGTGAGCTACCAGTTTGTACTAAATTTTTTCTCCTTCCTACTGAGGATAAAGACTTCACTTCTTCATGAAGAGGTAAGCTTAATTGAAAAGAGACTTTTTTACAAAAAATATGAGAATAAAAGTAAAGCCTCTAAATCCAAAAAAGCAAGAAGATTTTAAGAAGATAAAAGTGGAAATGATTTTGAGAAATTTGCTTCTACATATCTTCACAGTGTTTTTGCCACAGAACTGTACTTCATTACTTCAAAAGATTTATTGTTTCAGTGTGCACGCTCCATCCATCACTGCAGATGACAAGTTGTATGTATCTTAGACATTTTCATGAGTTGCTGTAAGTCAAAAGTAAATCCTAGTACCCAGCATTCCTGTGATAAACATCTTCAAACTTAGCCAGGATGATCCTTAGGCCTGCTGCCAGGCCCATCCTTGAAGTCTTGTCAGCTTGATATTACCTGCCAGAGCTGGTATTCTGCTGTCAGAATTCAGAGTCACCTCCACACCACGAACAAGCATCAAGAAGGACTTAATGGAAGTAATATTGTTATAAAGTCTTCATATTAAAAATTTAAACAAATTATTGAAGAATAGCAAAATATTAGTGAGATTATATTTTTATTCACCTGTGTAGCAAACATTAAGACTGTCTTACCTTTGTATTTCCCCTAGTGCTTAGCTTGTGCCTTAATAAATGTTTGTTGAACCAAATTAAAACAGATGGGGGAAAATTATTGGTTAGAGTGACTTGTAACTTAATCATATGTTGAATAAAGTAAGAAAGATTTTTAAAAATCTGTTTATATGTGCATGTATGAATACATATGTACATTTACATATGTGTTACATTAATATCTTTGTATATGTGTATACACACACATACTCATGCACATAGACAGCTTTGGTGTAGTGGATAGAGGGCCATCTTTGAAGTCAGAAAAACCTGAGTTAAAGTCCCATTTCTGATACATCCTAGTTATGTGAAGTCACTTAACCTCTTAGTGCCTCTGGAACTAAGACTCTGAGTTGCAGAGAAAATCATGGTCTGCATTGGTGAATTTCCTCACTGAGACTCCCTATACCAATGAAATTATAGGTCATCTTTAAAATAACATAATTATTTCATTCTCCTCTATTAGTCTATGAGGTCCTTGAGAGTAGGGACCATGTTTTTGCTTTTTTTTTTAATTACCAGGGTTTTGCTCAGTGCCTCACACATAGGAAGTACTAATTTATAAATGCTTATTGACTTGACTGATTTTGACAGTGTTCACAGAGTTATGTATTGGAATAACAGTTGAACTGTATTAAAAACCATGTCTAATTTGAACTATTTATAAATGTTCTTTCAGGAAATGAGTGCCACAGGAGTTATATAAATACTATGTCTAAAAATTGTATTTGTTTTTAAGCAAAATTAAAATTGTTTGGTAAAGAATTAAAATGGAAAACTTTCATTTGAATCTATGTATTATGAAATAGTATGAAGTATTATATGAAGTATAAGGAGGTATACAACTGACTTTTGTATAGTCTTTGCATTTATGGAGCTCTAGTCCAAAGTAGGCCTGTTAAGAATGTGAGAAAAATATGTTGTATCTTGAGTCAGTCTTGATAACCACATTTCTTTGACTATGAATTGAAGAAGGAATGGAATTGGAAAAGAAGAGAATAAAGAAAAACTTTGGAGATGTTTCTATAATCCAGTTGAATTCATATAAACCTGTTTATAAGCTTGGTAAAGGAATATCAGGAATACAGTATTAACTTTCCAATAATTGACAGTTTTCACATCTGTAAAAGGCATGGCTTGATTTTTAAGAGTAACCAGTGATTTCTCTTAACTGTAAAAGAGGTGCCAAAATACCATCCTATCTCCCACAGCTTTCATGCAAATCCTTTCTCAACTTTCACTTGAAAGATATTGTAAGTTGGACTGAAAAGCCTTAGAGATCCCTTCTATCTCTGAGGTTCTTTGGTTCTGGGAGAGCTAACCCTTGAAATGAGATTTTTTTAAGCTTTATTTATCTTTCAGTCTTTTAATTGTGATTTGTTCAGGCAGTATGTTCATTTTGGTAGCTTGGGACCTATCTGTCTATAAGTGGATATCAGATATTTTCTGGTTCACATTGATAAAAAGAAATCTCAAGTAGTTCCAATTTTTTTTTTTAACCAGTATCTTCTGTACCTAATTTTATTATCTAAATGTAGGCTGCAGTTGTTTGAGCAGTTGGTAGCCCCTTAGTATGCAAATTCTGTGCCTTACTATTTGAACATATAAAATTAAAGGTATGCAGATGGATTTGATTGCAAAAAAATTTTAATTTCTGTACAACAAAAACATAATATAGAAAGAAAAAATAAGTTTGCATAAAATATCCAGCAAATACAATAAAGCTTAACATCTAAAATTTATAAAGAATACATAGGGGCAGCTAGGTGGCGCAGTGGATAGAGCACCGGCCCTGAAGTCAGGAGGACCTGAATTCGTATCCGGCCTCAGACCAAACACTTGACACATACTAGCTGTGTGACCTTGGGCAAGTCACTTAACCCTGATTGCCTCACTAAAAAAAAAAATAATAATAAAATAAAATAAAGAATGCATACAAATAAAGCATTGCTCAGTTATTACTGGATAAGTAGTGAAAGAGTATGAATAGGCAGCGTACAAGAGAGGAAAAGCATAGACATTTTAAAAATGTCAAACTGAATCACTAAAAAATCTTCAACCTTAGTAAGCATAAATTAAAACAGCTCTGAGATAGCATTTAATACTTGATTACACTGACATAAATAACTAAAAATGACAAAACTCAGTAATGGATAGTTCCTAGAAAAGTAGATATGCCCATACATTGCCAGAAGATTTAGTTTGTGGAGGGCAATAAAATATACACAACAAAAGTGAAATAATCTCATTGCTAGTAGTAGGTCCTCAGATATCAGATACACAGTACATTATTGGGCTCATATTAGAAGCTTTCCAGCTTGATGTAGGACCTGCCAGGCCTTATATTCAGTTGACATAATCTTTCAGAACATAAAGTCACTCTACCCCAGGATGAGGCAGAGGAAGACTTTAATGGATGTGATAGTAAATATATATAATTATAATTCCTTATTACCTAACCAGCATATCATTTCTCTCCTTGAAAGAGCACTGGTGAAGACTGTGGGAAAATGGCAGTGTGATAGGATCTAGAAGAGCCCAGATCCCCCCATAAAAACCCAAGTTAAGTTCTAAAAACGCCACAGAAGGAATAATGGAAAAGAAAGTTAGAAATGTAACTGTAAAACCCTTCCATTCAGTACAAGGCTACATCAAAAGACTAATACAGCACTGGCCCTGAAGTCAGGAGGACCTGAGTTCAAATCCGGCCTCAGACCAAACACTTGACACGTACTAGCTGTGTGACCTTGGGCAAGTCACTTAACTCCAATTGCCTCACAAAAAAAAAAAAAGACTAATATAATCAAGATAAGCCACAGTAGGTGAAAGCAGCCAGACCCAACAACAGGAGACAATTCCAGAGCAACGTCCAGCAAAGGGCAACCACATAGAGGCTCAGGCACAGCAGGAAGCCAGACCATAGGAGCATTAGGTTCAGGGTGACCCCAGAGACAAGCAGGAGATGGAGCAGCTTAGAACAGTGCCCAACATGGAACAACCCTAGAATTCCAGCAGTAGCAGCAAGAAACAGGGCCAGACCAGGATCCAGGCAAACCTACACCTGATTCATCCAAGCAGCCTTAGCAGAATGCCTATTTGTCATCCGGGTAGCTTGGCCCTGAACCACAATGGAAGACAAAGATAGACATTTCCTACAAAATGTAGGCCCTATTCTTAGCCACTGTGCTTAGGAGCAACAAGGACCTGCCTACACCATTCAGAAGGATGGAAGTAGAGTTTAACCCAGACACCAACCCACAATTCCAGAAACAGAAACTGGAAATTAATGAAGGAAAATACCAAACCCAATGGAGAAATCCCCTGGACTGAAATACCCAGTGGTTAAACCTAGTAGAAGAGAATTAATTCCACAAGTCCAAGTAGAGACTTGGAAAAAAGAATATCCTAGCCACAAGGATTACAAGAGTACCTGGAAGAAATGAAATGAGACATAAAATAGAAATAGCTAAAGAGGAAAGAATGGCAAGGAGAATTAATAACTTAGAAAAGATGGTGATAAACCTTATGAAAGAAATTAACTCCTAAAAATTAGAGAAGTTGGTCCAAACAAATCAGTGACTCCCTGAGATAAAAAGTAATAAGATAAATAAAAAATTGAAAGAATAGAAGAAAATATAAGATGTTGGGAAATAAATCAAGGATAAATAAAATCCTCAGGCTATCTGAAAATCATAACTTCCCCCTCCCCCCCAAAGAAAAACCCAACCCAACTTTGGATACCATATTTCCAGAAGTTATATACGTAAACTGTCCATGTCTCTTAGAATCAGAAGGCAAAGTGAAAATGGAAAGAATACACTGTTCACTTCTGAAAGAAATTTGAAAATGAATAATCCTAGGAACATCAAAGCCAAAATGCAAAGCTTCCAGTTAAAAGAAAAAAAAAAACTGCAAATGGGGGCAGCTAGGTAGCGCAGTGGATAGAGCATCGACCCTGGAGTCAGGAGGACCCGAGTTCAAATGTGACCTCAGATACTTGACACTTACTAGCTGTGTGACCCTGGGCAAGTCACTTAACCCTGATTGCCTCACAAAAAAAAAAAAAAAAATACTGCAAACATCCAGAAAGCAAGAAATTGAATACCAAGGAACCAAAATTAGGATCACACAAGACTTAACAGTTGCTTTATGAAGGAGAAGAGAGCTTGTAAAATGTATATTGCAAAAGATAAAATCTAAAGCTTATGACCAAGAATAATATGTCCAACAAAACTCACTTAATTCTACAGTAATGAATAGGAGATTTTTAAGCATTCATGATGAAAAGGTCAGAATTGAATAGGCACTTTGAAATGGAAACATAAGTGACAAGAAAAATAAGAAATGTACAGTTTGATGAATTGGAAGGAGAGACTTTGTGAAGATACATTTTTCACATCCTAGTAGAGTATTAAGAAACAAATATGTCCTCAGAACCCTAATGTCTTCAAAGGACATATAGAAAGTTAACCCAAGAAGAGGGCCTGGTGGTATTTTTGCTCTGTATTGATGGTTTTAAGAGAAGGAAATCAGAAAAATGGGAAAATAGTTGGGGAAGAAAATAGGAGAAAAGGAAGGGAATTCACTGTCTCACCTTATAACAGTACATGAAATGAAACATGCAAACATTGAGGAAAGGGTAGGGGGAACCAGATTTCTACAAATTTCACTTTCATCTTGACTAAATAAAGGAGGGTTGAATACATCCAAAGTGAAGTGTATAAATACAATTAAACCCAGTAGAGGAGAGGAAAGGGGAGAGTTCAAAAGAAGGGCAAGAAATATGAGGGAGTGGCCCCCCCTGAAAAAAATCCTCTATCAGAGGTAGGGGCATGAAAGGAGGATTAAAAGGGAAAAAAATAGTAAGAATCTGTGATTGAGTATGAAACAAGGAAAAGAGAAAAAGATACTCTCATTTATAGATCACAAGTATTAGGTAAATGCTTAAACACTTCCTTTGTAAAGAGGGAGAGAGCAAAGAGAGAAAAAAGTAAAAGAGGACAAGAATGGAGGGCAATATACAATGAACAGTTATAACGTGAATAGGATGAATTGACCCTTTAAAATGTACTTGAAACAAAGATTCACGTAACGTTAAAATGAGGAGCTGGAGCAGAATTTATTATGCTACAGGTGAACTCAAAAAAGTGATCGCAATCTTAATT